TTCTTGCAGTAAGCTTTGACATTTGACCCTCATGACACGCCTTATAATGTTCTCAAAATAAAAAGCGCCCCCAATGAAATATGGTTGAAACTGTGAAGCCTAAATCTGACCGAACAGTATCGTCAAAAATTAGTGAAAAACTTATAAGCGAATAATGAAGATAGTGTTTCTAAAAAATAATAATATACCAATTACGACAAAAATATAAAAAAAATTATTGTTTAATGTATCACATGTCATAACATGGGACAATTAACATGTCATGTCATCGCAAATATCGGACCATCAATATCATGGACACTACGAGACGTCACTTAAATCTGGCTCCATATCCGAAACTAGTCCTGTATTATAGTTCATTCTGAAGAAAAGTTCGATGTGTTTAGGTAGAACGTGCACTACTTTGATTGATTGAAACCAGCTAAAAATGATAATATATTATGGACTGAATAAGAGTATAATATTTACACAAACATTTGAGTTCTGATAAATTTCAATCTATACGCATATTCTGTGCATGTAATGTTTTTTCTTCTTAACACATTGTTTTGCGTAAAAAACTGCAATATTACTCAATATACATTGTATTTGTGTAAAATTACGCGTTTTTCATGTTTACACATTATATTATATGTGCTGAGTTGACACACGTATTTGAATAAGAAAAAATAACTCAACGTGAGCGTGAATTTAATCAAACTAATGAGTAGATGATTACTCAAAATGTTGTGTACATGGTCGATTGCCCCTTCTGTTAACCTAATTACTCGCTGGGGCACCTGTGCCCCGGGCGAGAATAGGTTTCGGCTTGCATTTTTCTTGGATCGTCGATCGATAGCCACAAAATAGAATATTAATGAGCTGCTTGATCCTTTTCAAAATGGCGGGGCCTCTCGCGGAGTGGGCAAAATGTTTCAAACAATTGTGAAAATTTTGAACAAATTGCACCTGTTTTCTATGGATTTTGCATTGTGTCTAACTCTGGACATTCTTGCTAGTTTATTTAATGCGTTTTTCTTGGTGCATGACTCTGAAAATCCGAAATTTGGATCGTTAATTAAATTCCCGTGCACGATCATAATATACTGAATCTGAATATAAACGAGCCAAAGACAATTCCAAGGTAAAAGGTTATAACTTAAACTGCACAACGTAGTTTTAATAAATAACTACTTTATGAGAGGCATATTGGTGTCATATCAATATAAAATTTTTTCGAACAATAGTCCGTGAAAACTGTAGTGTGAAATATGATATTGTTATTATTGTATTTGTAATGCCTAGTAAATTTATGGCGCAATAAGGATAAAAATACCACCGTTCGATTCAGCGTAAGAAATTGTACTTATACGGATGCCAAATGTATTACTAAATACCAGTATTCTAACGATTTATGGCCTTTGAAAATCAAGCGAAATTGTATTGTTGACAAATCGCTCGCAGTACGTATCTGTTGACAAATCACTCGCCGTTTGTCCGACCTTGTATTTGTAATGCCTATAAATGGCGCAATAATTTGGCACAATAAGGATGAAAATATCACCGTTCGATTCAGCGTAAGAAATTGTACTTACGAATGAGAAATTGTATTTATGGATGTCAAATGTATTACTAAACAACTGACAACAGTATTCTAGCGATTTATGGCCATTGTCTTTGAAAGCCAAGCGAAATTGTATTATTTGTTGACAAATCCCTCAAATTATAAAAAATGCAGTACGTTTGATCCTTGATAACTTTGGTATCGTTGGTTTTCCCTTTTCGGCCGTATACCAGTGGATTCGTCTCACTTCTCTCTTCATTTTGATAATATTTTGAGCCCAAAAGCCCAAAAATATTTTATTTTGAACGTTTTAAACTGGCGGCCGACAGAAGAATGTAGCGTACTATAAAATATAACTTTACTTGTCGGCATAAACGCCGGAAGTTTTATTTGTAGAAACCAGGGTACCGCATTTTAGTGTGTTAAGCCTTTCGCGCTCGTATTCGACTTTTCCGCTTAGTACTGTATGTATCATATACATGTACAGTAATGTGCGTATTTGTACAGCCCCAGCGAGTTAACGCTCCATAGAGCGTCTTGTTACACAATAATTTGAGTTAAGGTGGCTCCCTACAGTTATAGTCCAGTTTAAAATATTTATATAGCTCAGACGTCATCCTCGCGACTCGCGCGTGGAATCGTCGTGGCCCGGTAAAAATCTTGAAACAAGTAAACAAGCCGCGGGAAGTTGTTTTTGTATTTTTATCTACAAAGAAAACGCCAGTTTTTATTATAATCCTAAACTTTTCAACATTCGAACAGTACGTATGTTGTTAGCTAGTTTTTACCTACATTCAGTGTGTTTTTTTATATATTTAATACGTTCAGTACTGTATTTCATAATGCTCACAATGTTCAACAACAGTGTCACGGACTGCAATTATATTTTATACTGTCTTGAAGGCACTCCTGAATTGTCACTGAAACTTACGTAAACCCTGTCATTCAACTTAGTTCACATGTAGTTTTTTATCAGCTGAATCCAATAAAATTATAATGCATACAGTTACGAGTTGTTTTATACGAAAAGTCAAACTCTACTTGAATGTTTTGAAAAGTTTTCACACCGATTTTCATAACAAAACTAAATTTAAGAAACGTTGGATTAAGTCAGTGCGTTAGTGTGTTCTCAATGTTTCGTATTTTGAAGACCTTTGAATACATATATCTTTTATTTTCATTTCAAATAAGTAAAAAATATCTGTGTGATACATATAAGCCAAAAACTCAAAGAGAAAATTGCTAAAAAAGCCAACTATAAACCGTACGCGTTTCGTGTTCCCCACGCAAATAGTGATCATGTTGAATCGATATTTTGTCACGTCAACAGCTTCAACTGGATTTAGGACTATTTTTCTCGCGTTTCCTTCGGTGAAAGTTTTTTAAACTTTGCACGTTTGCTAAGCATGACGATTCGCCAAACATATCAAAATTTCAAGAAATTCTATAAGACAGATTTTTTGCATTCGTTATTCATGAATATCTCAAAACCGGCCTTATAAACATCTCTTCAAATTTTAATATGTCATTCCCCTTTCAACCATAAATCTTAAAAAAAAAATTCAGAAAAATTGACCGAAGGAAAAAAAAGATATTGCCGTTTGATTGTAAAATTAGACAATAAAAGTGCAAAAGATGAAACGTCATGGTTGCCATAGCAACACTAACACTGTTCCTATTTGTTCATATATCGACAGCAGAAGACTTCTGAACTTTCCTGGAAATGATTATATTGCCCTGTCTTAAGTGTTTTCAATATAAATTTGGTTCAAAACGAAGGCTACCTAAAATACTTAAAATTTTAGAAAACTGTAGGGAGCCACCTTAAAATGAAGATTCTACGCAAATTCTTGTGTAAATTTACTTGGCTTCGATTTTAAATTTATATACATTTTTAGACCTTACCAGCAGCAGTAGCGAAAAATACAGGTATACTACTCCGTGGCAGAAATCGAAAGTTAATCCTGTTGCCCTGAATACATTAACATGCGCCATTATATCAAGTACTGTATTTCCGTTATTCAAGTATCGTATTTCACATATTATATTTCCAGAAGAATCTCGAACCAGCAACAAACCATGTGCTTCAAAGCCTTGTCAAAACGGCGGAACTTGTACGGATGTGGGTACCGATTCATTTGAATGTACGTGTCCCGAAGGATTTGAAGGAACAACTTGTGAAGGTAAAAAGTAGTATAGTAGTAAGACACCGCAAGGCTCATTAAATATTTAGGAAATCGCCTCATTTTAACCTCCAAAACCACTCAACAAGCAGTCAAAATTCAGTTCTATCTCTATCATTGTTTACCGGAATTGAAGTCTCGACAGATAATATTTCACACGAGTTAACATACTTTAGGCATTGTGTTGCTCCATTAAAGAGTCCTGGTCAACCACAATGCAATACGTGCGTTTGTTTACGTTTCTGTTACGTTGTGGGCCAGAGGCAGCCATTTTGTGTGGCCTCGAAAATGGTGGCAACAATTGATAAAAGTTACGGGAAAACGTAAATAAAAGCGCGTTGTGGTTTTGTGCATTGGTTTGTGGTTGACCAGGACTCTTTAATTGATATCTTCTAATTTTCTAAGACGCAAGGGCCCATAGACATGCACATGAACAATTTCAAATGTGGCATTCGCTATATTTTAATTCAAGTTATCAAAACAAAAGAAAATGAAATCTGCTACTTTTACGTTTGTGTAAAGTTACAATCTATCCACAAAAACGAGATGTATACAATTTCATATCTTGCAAAATATTTTTCGGGTTAGTTTTAGTTCTGTTTGACTTCCAGTTTACGACTTTTGGGGAATTGATTTTCGTAAACAACGAAAGCTCCAGAACTTTATGTGCGAAAAATTTGGGGGGAAACCCTATTGTTAATAACAAATGCTATAGCCAAAACAAAACAACGGTAATATCCATGGCCAAAAATAGTCGTATTGTTAGATATGCTATACGTTTCGACTGGCCTTTTAGTTAAGCCTAGTCTAAACGTAGAATCAATCAATAAAAATTTTCACTGTTTTCGAGGTTAATATCGTTTTGTTTTTTATTTATTTAAAATAGTATACGTACTCGTTTTCTATAACACATTTATTCATTCTACATGCGAGTAACTAGGACAGAATTCTAACCGTTAATATAAAGGGCCGTCTAATCAACAAATTTCGCGCGCTTTTCTTAACTCTCGCAACATTCCCGCGTGTTTGGATCAGGCCATCCAAACACGGAAACCATAAAGTAATTGTATATGACCACAGCAAACCTTCTTCATCATCTGTAATAGCTTCTTTCTCTCGTCTTGTACGATTCTCCGCAAGCGATTCGCCTTCCCGGTGGGGGGCTTTCATTTCACTATCCAGCACTCTTCTGAACGTCTGGAAACTGAGTAATAAACATGCTCATATTACAATAAATTAAACTAAACCATTAATTAAAAATGAACGAATTCAACCTACCAGTGATTGTTAGCATTTAACATGTTAGCTTCAGCCCGGCCATTTTTGTCTAGATGTCGTTTCAACGAGCATATAATTTGGTATACTGTACGCCCGGGATATGGCTTGCCATCCTTGTCGCAAACTTCTTGAACAAATTTGATAAGCCAGAAGTTTAACGTTCTTGCCGTCATTGAACACAATTCTGTCTCCAAATTTTGCAAATTCTGCAAATCTAAGCTGAAAGGATTGCTCTCACACATGACTACTTTATTTTCTCGCCCACTTTGCGAATCTTCAAATATACGAACTCCCCAACGATTTTTATAACGCGTTGTTTGTGGAATAGCATTTCGCACGTTGTCAATGCTTCTTTCCACGCTTTGAGGATCTCGAAATCTCCTCTTTTTGCAACTAGATGCCATGCTTCCTTCGAAGGCGAACAAATACTACAACAACAACGTCTTTAATTCCTTCCTTCGTTACGCATTCGCCTCATTGAACAACTTAATTCGCTATTGTTACTGCCTCATTGCTATGAATATCTAATGATCTGTGAGAAGCAATTTCAAATCCTCGTTAGTGTTTTAAACTTGGCTTCCAAATCCCCAGTGCCATGAACAATGGCTCGGCTGCGCCTCGCCATTGTTCATGGCACTTGTATTTAGAAACCACGTCTAAAACACTAACTCGGATTTGAAATATTACTTCAACTTTGGATAATTAAAAGACTTTGAATGGTCCATATTCTTTTTATCATCCGTGCTTCGACTTATATTTGAATTTCCGATTATCTGTGCTGATGTTTATTTTTCACAAGAATACGTAATTACAGTCAAACTCCTATAAGAGGACACCTCTCTTAAGCGGACACCTCTTTTAAGCGGACACATATCTCAGGTCCCATTCGTTTTCTTTAATAAAATACTATTATCATTACCCCTATTATGCGGACACCCCTCTTTAACGGACGCGGATACCTTGCTTGAGGTCCCAATGGGCAAACTAACCTCTCTTAAGCGGACAGATGACAGATTGTCTGATAAAATGTATTCAATATTCGACAGTAAATAACAATTGAGATCAATTTACATGGCACATTGACAGTAACACACCAACTTGGCGCGAAGACATCAGAGCCAAGATTATTGAGGAAGTGACGAACGAGGACGGAGGACTGTAAGCCGGCAGCCAAGGAGCCGAAAGATATGTGTCAGATCATTGATGATGACAACGAACTGAACAAAAAAGATGAAATTAACGAACCAGTCATTAAATCTTCCTCCGAAGCCCCTAACGTTGTCGAGCGGCTGGCAGAATTCGCACAATTTCGAGGTTTGGAAGAACTTTCCAACGTCATTTTTATGTAAATGACATTATAATGGTTATCGTCTGCGTGAGCCTCGAAAGCAAAGTTGTATCGATTCCTTTTTTATATGACTGTGAGAGACGTATACATTTTCTAATGAACTTTCATGCACAAAGAATTTTTCATTTTATGCTAATTATTTCCTAGATATTTTTTACTGTTTTGATACTCAAATTACACACCTAATTACACATCTTTGCCTCCTGCTGTGTTTTTGTACATACCCCTTTTAAGCGGACACCCCTTTTAAGCACAGACTTAGGCGAGGTCCCAAAGGTGTCCGCTTAATAGGGGTTCGACTGTATGTTTCTTGGACTTTGTTGGTTTTATATTTCGCAAAACATTTTATATTCGCGTTTCTGCCGTTGTTCCAATCTGCCTGGCTTTTGTGTTTAGCATGGTCGAGAGCATTGTGGTAGATAATTAAAGCTATAATGTAGGTCAGATCAAACGATATTTCAGATCGGATGGGATTGCGATTTTTAGCATGGGATTGCATTGGGATTTAATAAATTTTTCGGGTTGGATCGGATTACGCTTTTGAGCTTCGGATTCGGATTGAGAACGAAAACTTTAATTGGATTCGTACATAAATGTATCGACAGAAAATGTAAACAATTAAATATTATTAAGTCAGCAGCGATAAATATAATTATTACCTTAGAGATTACATGAAGAAAATATGCTTGTGATTCCGCATAAACGTACAAACTCACAGGCAGAATATAAAGCCGGTGTAAAACTTGGACGGGCACCGCAATTTAAAGCCATGCTTGGGGCTGCGGCTATGTTTTTTACGTACGTTTGAAATAGTTAAAATGTTCCTTGGTCGTGCGTGCGTACGTGCGTGCGCGCAGTATGTATATACACATATACTGTAGACAAAGTAACTTGAATGCAAAGAAAATCATTAAGAAGTAAACTGTGTGTTATCAGTGTCATTTACAGTGAAGCATGTTAACTTTTTGAATAGAACAAGCGTAAGATATTGGAATCGTAACGCGCCGGTTAATAGAATCCAAGCACTCAATTACGCTAATATTGTACATGTTTAAGATCAAATTTCGCCAAGACACAAAAGAATCCCAAACATCTGAAATCGTCGTCGAATGACTACATCCTAGCCCTAACACATTATGCATATGTACATTTATATAGAAAGTAGGACTATGTTTAAATAGGCGATTCCCAAGACGTACTTTGGCTAGTTTGGAGAACCCGGAAATTTCAACCATCTTTGATCTAAAATAACCAAGTCAATAACATTTCGATTTATGGACAAAAGATATCACGAGAAAGTTCCATATATTCTAAAAGCCATTTCCTGGACTTCGGGGGAATATTTGACAGAAATATGATGGTCAGGAAACGGCATTATAACGTGTCGAAATTTGCAATTTGGTTAGAATTAAGTAGTAGTACTTAAATTATGCACTACTTCCAGCGATTAATCTAATCCTAATTCTGTCCTCTACTGATCCACTGTTCTGCATAGACGGATTTTGTGCGGGGGTGCAGGGGGGTGCTACCCCCCAATATTAGCTATAACCCCCTCAAACAAAATGTCCACCCCTCCAAAAAA